TCCTCAGATTTGGCTGATTTGCTGGAGTGGCTCCTTATACCTCAGGAAAACACATTTACCGTTTTTTTATAAAGAATATTACAAAGGATCCGGACGTGTACAGCGACAAGGCATAGGAGTAGGAAGGGGTAGGAGCTTCCGTGCCTCTCTGGGTCACCACCCTCCAAGGACCTCCTCGGGTCCCGCTGTCTGGAAGCTCCCAAACCCTGTCCTTTTGGGTTTTTACATAGGCTTCACCAAGGCATGACTGGTTACATCATTGGCCATTGGTGACCAACTCAACCTCCCGGCCTCTCCACCTCCCTGAGGTTGGGACTGGGGCTCAAAGTCCCAACTCTCTAGTCTTGCCTTGGTCTTTCTGGTGAAGGGGGCCATCCTGAGGTTGCTGGCCACCAGCCATGTCATTGGCATACAAAGACATTTGTCACTTTGGAGATTCCGAGGGTTTCAGGAGTTGTATGTTAGGAAATGGGGACAAAGACCCGATTCATATTTCACACAGTCACAGCACGGCACTGAGAGACAGACAGACACAGTAGCCAGCAGAGAGACAAGAGAGCGCCCAGGTCACGCTCGGTGGCTCAGCCTGTCATCCCAGCACTTTGGGAGGCTCAGGCGAGTGGATTGCCTGAGCCCGCGGGTTCAAGATCAGCCCGGGCAACTTGTAGAGGCATTGTCTCGACAGTATATCAAAAATTAGCCAGGTGTGATGGTGTGTACCTGTAGTTCTGGCTACTAGGAAGGCTGAGGAGGAAGGATCACCGGAGCCCAGCAGGTCGATGCAGGGGTGGCCGTGAGCGTGCCACTGTACCCCAGTCTGGGTAACAGAGTGAGATTCCAACTCAAAAAAAAAAAGAGAGCGAGCGAGCATCCAAGGAATTGATTCCACACTGTTGAGCTGCCAGAAACAAAGCAAAACCCCCAATGAAGGAGGAGCCCTGCCCCTGAGGACACTGTGACCTTCTGAATCCCAGGAGAGGAGGCTGAGAGATGTTATCAGCAAGGCAAATTAGAGGCTTAGTTGGGGGACTTTACTTTTAGGGATCAAAATCAAGTGAGAAAGCAAGACAGCCACAGTGTCAGAATGCCTCTATGACAACCCTCTTCAATCCTGGATTTTCTACACTAGGAAACCCGAATGACCCCAAACCTCCCATACCCAGAGAAAACCTAGAGACAGGAAAGATAGTCAGTGGCTGACTACAGTGGGAAAAAACCAAAGTTTAGGAAGGATCTGGAAATTCCAAGGCCCAACTTGGGAATTTCCAAAAGTCAAATGTTTCTGCCTGGAGACAGTGACTATAAACACCTAATATTGACGGTGGAAGGAAAGGCTGATAGCTTCTACCAGCAGGCAACAGTCTGTAGCTATTATTTTGAGAGTATGTGGTATGATTTCTGTGCTGGGGGTTCTGAAGTCACCCTGAACAATTTAATAAGATTAAGTAGGGTGCTGTCTCTGTGAAACTGGAGTCGATTATTTTTACTTATTTTAGAGATAAGGTCTCACTCTGTCTCCCAGGCTGAAATGCAGTGGTGTGATCAGAGCTCACTGCAGTCTCCAATTCGTGCGCTCAAGTGATCCTCCTGCCTCAGCCTCCCGAGAGGTTGGGACTATAGGCGCAGACCACCTCTCCCTGCTAATGCAGTCGATTTTTTCAGAAGTCTTCAAGGAAGCAAAGTAAAAACTACAGTGCCTGTTTGTGATTAAGGTAAACAGAAGACTGTATCCAAACAGGGACAGTTTGGAGATTGGGAGAGTATCAGCAATGACCACAGGACAGCAGGCATCACTGGCTCAGTCCTGGGCAAAGCACAGGCCCAACACCAGATGGCACAAGAAGCAAAAAATGGAGTGTGCTTCCCCATGAGTGTGGCCAAACACACGGTGCAAATCCAGAGAGGCCGAAGCATGTGGCAGCTAGAGGGACAATCTGGGGAAAGGTGCAGGGTGCGGGGCGGGGGGGATTGGGGAGGAACACAGAGAAGACAAAGCTTACATCTCAGCATTCATAGATGGCCCCCAGACTTCCACAGGCGGGGTTCAGATGGCCTCTGCATTCCCCTGGTGACACAGTCTGGATGTCTGCCCCTCTAAGTCTCAGGCTGAAATGTGGTTCTCAGTGCGAGAGGCGGGGGCTCTGGGAGGCAACCGGGTCATGGGGGTGGGTCCCCCGTGATGGCTTGGTGCCCTCCCCATGACCACGAGCGAATTCTTACCCTGCTCGTTCACATGAGAGTCGGGCACCGGCTCTCTGGCATCTGCTCTCCCCACGTGACACGCCTGCTCCCCGTCCCCTGCCGCCATGCCCGTGGTATCCCGAGGCCTCCCCAGAAGCAGAGACCAGGGCCACCGTGAGCCAAAATAAACCTTTCTTTATATGTCACCCAGGCTCAGGTGTTCCCTTACAGCAACACAAGACAGAGCAGTCCCCAGCATCACGCCTACCCAGGAAATCCCTCTCTCAACAATGGTGACCTCAGCTCGCCACCTCTGGCCTGCCTGGGGTCTCTTCACCCAGACAGTCGGTCTCCTGAGCCCGGGGCACCCTCCAGCCCTGCCCCAGCCCCTACTTTGCCTGCTTTAACCCTGCCCCTCCCAGGGTTCCCTCCCAGAAGACCCCTTCCTTCACCCCTTCCCCAGATGCCTGCCCACCTGCAGTTCCCTTTTCCCACCTGCATTTTACTTGTTCAGTACTCGTCTTTCTCTGATTTCTTTCATGCTCTTTTCCCATCCAGGCCCAGCACAGAGTTGGTTCTCAACACATATTTATTTTTCAAGTCAGAGTCTCTGTCACCTAGGCTGGAAGGCAGTGGCACGATCATGGCTCCTCATAGCCTAGACCTCCTAGGCTCAGGCGATCCTCCTGCCTCAGTCTCCTGAGTTACTGGGACTACAGGTGTGTGCCACCACAACTGGCTAATTTTTTATTTTTGCAGAGATGGGTCTCACTACACTGCCCAGGCTGGTCTCGAAATCATGGCCTCAGGCGATCCTCCAGGTCTTCCCAAATGTTGGATTATAGGTGTGGGCCACCACACCTGGCCTACAACAAAAAATATTGATTGAACAAATGACATGTGATAGTGAAGCATGCTTTTTTTTTTTTGCTGGCAACTAAGTATCCAAAAAAAAATTACAGGTAATGAACAGGTGAATTAAAGGCTGATAAAAATATTCGAGACAAAAAACGAGGCTCTTTCTTTAAGTGCAATTGTTACCAGCAAGTCCCAGCCATGAATAGCGGGAACAGCCAGAGGCCCTCATGGGGCCCGAGCCAGTGTGACAGTGGCCTCTAGTGGACAAGATGGAGAATGCAGTCATTTGGAGGAAAAGCTGTCCCAAGGTGCCAGTTAACTGAAGAAGTAAAAATCCCAGTTTCCTCTGTTTTTCACTTCTATCATGTAAACAGGCTTTCTCTCCCATGATGGGGCGAGCCCTTTGTCAAATGTTTGCCTAAAGAGATAGTGATTTTAAACCGATAAATGAAATATTTAGCGTTCTGGGCATTGGTGTCTAGAAACAATCACATCAGCACTTGTACAGAGGGCTAGAGTGAGATTTTACATCAAACCTGAGTGGCAGCCAATTCTCCTGCCTTGGTTCCTTTTTTCCTCAATAATATTTTCCAGCCTCCTGGTATTTTTATCGGGATTGCAGGGTTGCGGGTTCTCAGAAACTTCTGCGAGAGGGGTGCATTTTATTTTTTAAGAGATGGGGTCTTGCTGTGCTGTCCAGGCTGGAGTGCAGTGGCTATTCATAGGCACAATACCGTGACTGAACAGCATGAGAGTTTTGGCCTACTCCGTTTCTGACCTGGGCTGGTTCATCCCTCTTGGGCAACCTGGCATGTGTGCTGTGGGCACCCTCAGAGCTGGAGAGATGCTGTGGGCTGCTCTGGCTAACAGCTCCCATCACTTCCGCATCTCCAGGTCTGAAGGACACCAGTACCCACTTGCCTGATTCAAGTCCCCATCAACACCCCTGACCAGCTCTCATTCTTTCTCTGCACGCCGGTTGCCGCAAGCAAACTCTTTGGAACCCAAATAACTGACTCACTAAGAAACCAGCTCACTCAGGGGTTTGAGACCAGCCTGAGCGACATGGTGAGGCCTCATCTCTACACTAAGTCCAAAAAATAAACAAAAAAAAGATTAGCCAGGCATGATGGCACGTGCTGGTGGTTCCAGCTACTTGAAAGGCTAAGGCGGAAGGATGGTCTGAGCCCAGCAGGTCGAGGCTGCGGTGGGCGTGAGCATGCCACTGCCCTTCAGCCTGGGTGACAGGGTGAGACTCCAATTAAAAAAAAAAAAGCCAGCTCAGAGAGGGAAGGAGCTCACACAGCTCAAGGCAGAGGCGGCCGTCCACGTGCACTCCAGCTGGGTGGAACAGCAAGGGACATGGGGGACCACGGCAGACCCTTCCCTGGGACATTCTCGAGAGCACAGCGGACAGGGAGGATGCTGACATTCGATCAGACCCGGTCAAACTGAAACATGCACACACATCCACGTGCTGGGGAGGACACGTGGCTCTTGTATACCAGCCCCTGGCCTCTGTCCTCCAGCCGCGCCTGTCGCCAGGGCGGATAGCCTTTCCAGCTCATATCTGCAGAGGGAAAGGGCGTCGGGGCAGCTTTTGCCTAACCCCAGACCTCATACCCATGTAAAACAGGTGGTGGCCACAGTCACAGTTCAGCTTCACGGAGCTGTACGTTGGCGTTCACACATTGTGAGGAAATGGAGGTGGTCAGACAGAGACTTAGTAAGCCATGACCTTGCACACTGCCCCCCTCTGTGATCTCCTTGGACAGTCTGTGACCTCAGTGCCAGGGCTCGACCTTGCTGCGGGCCTCTGAGGTGAATGGCCGCCCTGCCACACAAGGGAGACATGAGGTGTGTGGGGGGAAAGGCAGGTGGGGTCCCCAGGCTTTCAGGGCGTCTCCGAGGGGAGGGTTGTGGCTAACGCCCCCGTGGCCCCGGCTCCTTGGGACACCTACCATTTCCTTGAACGCACTCTCCAGGGCCCCGATGACCAGGCACTCGTGTGGGATCTTCTTCTCAGTGAAGAAGCGAGTAGGGGGCGTCCCAGGGGAGCCCGGGGTGCCCACCCCTCCACGCAGGGAGGCTGCCCGGGTCAGAGTCCGGCTGTTGGCGGGTGTGTTCTCAGGCTCCTCGCCCAGGCAGGTGGGGGGCAGCACGGCGGAGTTCCTCAGGATGTCCACAATGTCCTGCAGCTGCTCCGTGACATGGTGTTGCAACAGGCGCGACGCCACTACGGCTGCCCCGGACCCCGCGTGGCCATCAAACAGCGACCAGTAGTAGCAGGAGATGCCCTCGGATTCCTGGGGGAGAGAGCGACAGTGACAGGAAGGGGTAAGAACGTCTGTGGCCTCTGCCCCACAGCCAGGGGGACACCGCTAGGCCTTCGGGCTCAGCGTCCCCTTGGCTGGCCAGCTGGGGTCTGCAAACATGAGGCTGACACACCACAGACATGCACAGGGAAGGGCCCACAGATGAGTCACTCTCGTCACCGCCATCCAAGGGATGCAGTGTCCCTGCCTGTCCACCTGGGGAAGGGGCCACGTGATCTCATGGCTGTTACTACTTTGAGGGCAAAGTCTACTTTGACTTTTAGGCGTGGGTATAAAACTCCCCCTGCGGAGCTGAGTCTGCAGAGGCCTAGATTGGACATCTAACGCCTTCCCCCTTTTCTCTCTCAACTCCTCAGCAGGTCTGGCCTGGAGCCTTGGAGAAAACTGGGCCCTTTCTGCAAGTTCTCCAAGGGGAAATACAAGGTCTAACCATGAAGCTTGAGAACCATCCCAGAAAAAGTGCTCCCTACCCCATGGCTGAATATCACTATGGTCACCTTCAAAGTCCTCCCCTCAGGAAGCTATGCACCGATGCCAGTGGCTAGTCTGCGTGTCCAAGCAATGTTGGAACTCTCTTTCCGGAAAGGCCATCAGAGCCATCATCATATTACCCTTGATGTCCTGAATGTCATCAGATGTCTTCCTTTCCATATTTCCTATAATTATCTTTGGGTAAAGAAGAAAGTCACTGGGGGCCAGATCAGGTGAGTAGGGTTATTTGTACAAGGCTGTCAATGTTAGCACATGGTGGCAGGTTTGTGAACTTCACCGGCAAAGCTCAACAAATAACAAGGACAGCTCTGATGGACATTCCAGAAAGAGTTCCAAAATTGCTTTGACAGGTAGACGAGGCATAGTTTCCCAAAAGGACTTTGAAGGTGACCGCAGTGATATTCAGCAACAAGGTATACAGTACTTCTTCTAGGATGGTTTGCAAACCTGATTCTCGAACCTCTCAAGTAGCCCGCTTTTCTCCCTGAGGGCCCTGGCACACTCAGAGAATTGTCCCACTTCCTTTGGTCTATGTCAGACCAACTCACAGCCCACGACTCACAAGCAGCCCAGGACAGCTAGTCACATGGCCCCACAAAATCTTTTAATATCATATGTTTTTTAGCGTTTATTTTCCTCATGACCTCATGTGAAGTCCCATTTTTGAAGTGCACAGTCACGCCTTATTCATGACATCACTTTTGGGCAGCAAATACATTTCTGAGCAGCTGTTTTTAACTAGGAAGTACACCAAAAGCAAACTTTGAACAAACATTTCTGGGGAGCACCTTGAGAAATCACTAAGAATTGCGACCACTTCCACCGAACTGGACAGCGATGGATTGGTTTTACAAAAACAGGGTCCGATTTCCCACTAGTTTCATATTGTTCTCATTTTTCTAAACCTTATAGTAAAAAACACTTAAAAAGAGAAGTCCGTACGGGCAGTGGGGAGCCCATGGAAGGTCTTTGAGCAGAAAAGAAAGAGAGAGAGAGAGAAGTCCTATTATGTATATACACTAACTATATTACATAGTTTATGTGCGGCCCAAGACAATGCCTCTTTACTCGATGCGACTCAGGGAAGCCAGAAGGTTGGACAGCCCTCGTCTACATCCTGAGCTTCTAGAACATTGTTTCCCCCTGGAAACCCGGTCTAGTCCAGGCCTCACCAGAGGCAGTGGGTTCAAATCAACCCTCCACATTTCCCGCCTCCCTCAGTCTCCAGCTGATGTCTTTCTGTTCCCTCTTCTCACCTCACAGTTCTGTGCAGCCTGTGTTCCCCCATCATCATGGATTTAGTACTTGTGCCTGAATTTCTAGACTACTTCAAGATGAGTGCTTTTATAAACCATGCTTGAGTCACACATGTGTTAGATCTTAGCTTAGGCTGGATGTGGTGGCTCACACCTGTAATCCCAGTACTTTGGGAGGCAGAGATGAGAGGATTATCTGAGCCTAGGTGTTCAAGAACAGCCTGGGCAACCTGGTGGAGACCTTATCTCTACAAAAAAATCAAAAAGTTAGCTGGGTATGGTGGCACACACCTGTAGTCCCAGCTATTCAGGAGGCTGAGGCAAGAGGATTGCCTGAGCCCAGCAAATCAAATCTGCAATGAACTGTGATCATGCCTCCGCACTCCAGCCTCGGTGACAGAGTGAGATGCTGAGTCAAACAAAACAAAACAAAACAAAACCAAAAAAACTTATCTTAGAAGAAAAGGCTCCCATAGAATCAAGAGCCCAGAAATAAGCCCATATAGGTGGTCAACTAAACCTGAACAAAGTTACCAAGAACACACACTGGGAAGAGTCTCTTCAACAGGTAACACTGGGAAAAGTGGACATCACCTGCAAGAGGATGAACCTGGGTCCTTATCTTGCATCATGTAGAGAGATGAACATGAAATGTACCAAAGACTTACATGGAAGACCTGAAATTGTGAAACCCCTAGAAGAAAATGGAGGGGAAAAAAGGCCTTGGTATTGGTCTCAGCAATAAGTTTTTTAGAGATGGAACCCAAAGCACAGATAATAAAAGCAAAAATAAACAGTGGGCTATGTCAAACCAGAAAGCTTCCGCACAGCAAAGGCAACATTCCACAACACGAGAAGGCTGCCTGTGGAACAGGGGAGATGTCTGCAAACCATGTCTGACAAGGGGTTCGTTTTCAAAATGTACAAGGAATGCCTACATTTCCATTGCCAAAAATCCCAAATATACTGACTAAAAACCAGGTGAAAGACTTGAGACTTTTCTCCAAAGAAGACATGCACGTGGCCCAAGGATATATGAAAGATGTTCAACATCATTATCTTTCTTTTCTTTCTTATTTATTTATTTGCTTTTTATTTTTTTGAGTCCGAGTCTCACTTTGTTGCCCAGGCTAGAGTGCAGTGGCATGCTCATGGCCACTGCAGCCTCAACCTGCTGGGCTCAGGCAAACCCTCTGCTTCAGATTTCCAAGTAGCTGGAACCACAGGCACACACTACCACACCCAGCTGATTTTTTAATTTATTGTAGGGATGAGGTCTCGCCAAGTTGCCCAGGCTGGTCTCAGGCCCCTGAGCTCAGGCAATCCTTTCGCCTCGGCCTCCCAAAGTGCTGGGATCACAGGTGTGAGCCACCGCGCCAGGCCACACATTGCTACCGTTCAGGAGAAAACTCTTGGTGAGCTGAGATCAGGAAGGGCCATCCCCAATCTGACAAGGGTGTCTCTGCAAAGCCTATATCATAATTCATGGTGACACACTGAGTGCTTTCCCCTAAAATCAGGCAAAACGTAAAAGCATGTGCTCTCAACACTTCTACCCTGTGTTGTACTGGAGGTCCTTGACAGGCAAAATTAAAAAAAAAAAAAAAAAGACCTGAAGATCATAAGGAAAAAGAAAAAGAAAACTGCATTTATCCTGACTTTGTACAATTTGAACATGCCGGGCCTTAGAATTGTTTTCTTCATGCTTCACATGGCTGAAGTTCATTATTTTTGGTCTGTGGGTTTATGGCTATTTCATCAGATTGAGAACATTGTTGGCATCCCTTTCTCTCTTGTCCTTAGAAGAACTGAATGACACTATATTAGTCCCTAGAAGTTGGCTCTCAGCTCACAGAGGACATTTTCATTTTTTGACTGTTTCATTTTGGTTCATTGCTACTGCAATGTGCTAGAGCTCACTGATGTGTTCTTTTGTGTGTGTGTGTGTGTGTGTGTGTGTGTGTGTTGAAGTCTCACTCTGTCACCCAGGCTGGAGTGCAGTGGCACACTCACGGCCACCACAGCCTCGACCTGCTGGGCTCAGGTGATCCTTCTGCCTCAGCCTTCCAAGTAGCTGGAACTCCAGGTGTGCACTACCATACCCAGCTAATTTTTGATTTATGGTAGTGACAAGGTCTCCCCAAGTTGTGCAGACTGGTCTTGGGCCCCTGGACTCAGGCAATCCTCTCTCCTTGGCCTCCCAAAGTGCTGGATTACAGGCTTGAGCCCCCACACCCAGCCTGATGTGTTCTTAATCTTTTTCTTTTTTGATTAAAAATGGGCAAAGGGTTCGATTAGACATCTTCCAGATTTCCAAATTTGCCAACAGGTATATTAAAAAGGCTCAATATCGCAAATCATCAGGGAAATGCAAATCAGACCACAATGAGGTATCACCTTGCACCTGTTATGAGGGCTGTTATTCAAAAACGCGAGAGACAGGCATCGGTGAGGATGTGGGAAAAAGTGCACTATTGGTGGGAATATCAGTTGGTACAGCCATGATAGAAAACAGTATGGAGTTTCCCTCAAGAACCTCCCTACGATCCAGCAATCCCACTACTAGGTGTACCCAGAGGAAAGGCAATCAGTTTGTTCAAAAGATATGTGTACATCCATGTTCACTGCAGTAATTCACAACTGCCAAGATGTCAAAATGACCTTCATGTCCATCGACAGATACATGGCAAAGAAAATACAATAAAATATAATTCAACCATCAAAAAGAAGACAATTCTGCCATTTGCAACAACACAGATAAACCTGGAGAACATTTTGTTAAGTACCAGGCACAGAAAGACAGATGCTGCGAGATCTCACTTCTATGTGGAATCTAAAAAAGTCGAACTCATAGAAGCAGGAAACAGAATGGTGGTTGTCAGGGACACCGGGTGGGAGAATTGGGAAGGTGATGGTCAAATGGCACAAATGTTCAGTTATAAGACAAGGACGTTCTGGTGAGCTGAGGGTACAGTGTGGTGGATGCAGTTAACAGAACTGGACGGGGCATGGTGGCTCTCACCTGCAATCCCAGAACTTTGGGAGGCCAAGGTGGGAGGATTATTACTTGAGCTCAGGAGTTCAAGAGCAGCCTGGGCAGCACAGCTAGACCTTGTCTCTACAAAAAAATGAAAAACTTCGCCAGGCATGGTGGCACATACCTGTAATCCCAGCTACTCAGGAGGCTGAAGTAGAAGGATCATCTGAGCCCAGAAGGTTGCC